TCTCCGTTTCTCCCCACCCATCTCTCCCCGTCTCTCCCCACCAATCTCTCCCCGTCTCTCCCCACCCATCTCTCCGTCTCTCCCCACCCATCTCTCCCTGTCTCCCTTTCCTCACCTCTGTCTACCTGTAATTCTCCCCTCACTCATCTTTCGTTCTTTCCACCCACAGAGAGGAGGGTTTGGCCGTGGCAGCGGACAGCAACACCAGTGAGGCGTGGAGTCCAGCATCGTTCATCTAAAATGGGAGGGGGGGTGGTCATATCTATTTTACAGCTGGCAGTAGCCGTTTATGTCTGGGCACTATGCTGTCAAAATTGCAAGTGGGTTGTGTCCTACGTGAGGCTAGGACTGTGATATCTGCTGTATTGCACATCTTTCTTAAGCCACGTCCGAGTTGGTCTCATGTCTAGGGCTTCCATTGTATCCAATAGTGTGCCTTGGCCAAGAGCCACAGCCCTAGACATCGCTTGATTTGGACAACCTTACCGTCAGCAGATAGCAGGAGACAATCCTGTGTTGGTCTCGCATTGTGGAAGACAACGGGCAGATACCTTGGTATTGAGAACTACAACAACCAATGGCTGTGCTTCAGGCGACTAGACAAATATGGCTGCTGCTTTCATGTTATCAGTCTTTGTGCATAACATTCAAATAAATCCGGGCCATGAGCAGCCCCATTACAAACAGAATGTGAAAAAGTGTGGTAGGATTCCTTCTGTTCTTATGCTCGTGTGTTTGTTTGATGATAGGGTCACAAAATATGATTGCAATGATGTATTTAAGGCAAAGATGTCTTGGTCTGTACTGAAAAGATTCTGGGAAACCTTAGTGTGCATGTCTTTGTAAAGGGAGAAGGGGTGTGGGTTACATTCGGTTGGGGGATACCTTGATCAAAGGGAAGTTTTTCCTCGTCACCAAATTAAGGCTGTGAATGTGTAATTTATGACGTCAACATTGTTCAGAGACAAAAAGGGAATACAAGATTATACCCATTGCAGCCATGTCACAAGCTTCAGGAAGGGGAACCTGCCAACCTTGCCGTACTCCTTCCTGAGGTCATGCGTTGCCACGCAATAGATTAAAATTTTAATGAACTGAAGGCTCATTTAAACACCTTTTAATCTACTGTGCGGTAACGCCTGACCTCAGGAAGGAGTACGGCAAGGTTGGCAGGTCAGGGAAGGGGTGGGAGCACACCGCCAGCTGTGGGGACTCGTCATAAGAACAATGGATGAATTGGATGCTGATGGTTTTTGCTGATGGGAGGAATGCTGTTTGCTGGACTGGGGGGGGTGCCTCGGAGCAACAGGCCTGATTCATTCAGACGTGGAAGATTGTTTGCCATCACTAAAGCCATCACTTCGAGATGTTAGGATGTTTCAGAACAAAGGGCTTCTTTGTCAAGACGTTATTGCAACTTTTTATCTGTAAAATGTCCTGGCAACTATGAATGTAAAGATATGCAATCTGGATATTGGAGGGGATTTTCAAAAACCCCCCCAAAAAATCATTCTTTGTACAATAGATACATGAAAAAAAGAGAATGTTGATGATTCATTTTAAAAATCTCATAATGAAATTCAGTACACTGACGATTTTTCCCCCTTTCTAACAAAATGCTTGTATTTACATTCTAGACTGGGTCCCTGCCCTAACAATTGCATGATAGAGTAGTCAGATTCTTTTTGGTCTGGGAACCAGACTGCCTAATTTTAAAGCACTACTTCCGTATTTTTCCAATGCGCCATCGGACGGAGGATAGGAGGAACTAGCTACAAAGAACGGCATTTTCGTCCAAGAAAATTTCATGAGTGTAGGGCCGAATTTCACCTTTGGGAAAACACCTGCGTGGTGAATATAAACAAGAAAACATGAGTCGTATACAATGGGCCTGTCAGAATGGAGACATGGACCAACTGGAAACACTAATTGAAGCTGTGAGTTTTCGTTTAGGCGCTACACAGTCTACATCATCTACTGACGCTACCAGACCTGCTGCTAACGTAACAAGGGGGGGGGGGCGTGGCTAATGTTAAATTGTAGGCATTTTACTTTTTGATATTTCTATCAGGGCTTCTCGCTAGAACTTGCAGAAAATTTCATTTTGTCATGTTTGTGGAATGGGCATGAAGGGGAGCCGGACAGGGTTTTTATTGATGTAGGGAAAAGATTTTGCACTTTTCCTCTTCAATATGTTCAACATACATCCAAATTTTAAGCCCGCGAAACTTCAAGAATATCAATTTTCACTCTGAAGAACCCTGCTAATGTGTTCTTATTCCTCTGTGGTCTGATGGTCAGTCTAAAGATCTAAACAAAAATTGCTGGGGCTGCACATGGGTTGCAAGACTGATTTTAGAATGGTTGGTACATAAGGTGTTTTAATTGAGACTTGGAACAGACATGACATGAGGCCTTCCCGTTATTCAAGTGTTATTTGATAACCCATGGCCTTTATGATGTAATCTGCACAATTGTGCGCTGTCATGTCTGCGATTGGTTGATGGTGTATGAAGTCTCCAACTTGCCTGCCCGTTTTTGAAACAGTCTTTTCACAACAGTGATTTAAGAAGGAAAGACAATCAGTGGAGGCGAATGTCAGAACTCACAGACTGTCTTCCAACTCAGAAAAGTATCTTTATTTGGCGCCAAAATCAGCCCCCTTAAAAGAGAAATTTCTCCTGAAAAGAAGACTTTTTTCCATGGAAAATAATCCCAGTTTGTCTTTGCCCAAGATGCTTTGCTAGCTGTTTTCAGCTTTGATTGTAAGTGGCCACTCCCACCTCTTATACTTGTAAATAATCTTCAGACACCAAAACCTTCTAAAAACGTTTTTTTTTGTTCTATGGTCGGTCGCTATGCTCAGGTACTGTGGTCACATGGTTATGAACTATGATCATGATAGTCTGGTAAATATGGCCAGGTGCTGTGTTTGGGTGCTTTTGTCAGGTACTGTGGTCGTGTACTATGGTCAGGTACTATGATCTTGTTCTGGGGATCAGGTACTTAGACCTGATGCTCATCCCTATTCAAATTTCACTCTGTCCCAATCACCAGTAAGGTGACCGAATAAACACAAGGTCGATTGAATCTCGTCCATTTGCTTGATCGCAGGGTGAGGATGTGAACCAGGAGCTGTCACAAGGAAGGCGACCGCTGCACATCGCTGCCGACTACGGCCAGATGGAGGTCATCCGGAAGCTTACTGAAAAGGGTGCAGACGTTAATGTAAGACACTATCAACCGCAGAAATTTCAATGCTTGGAAAAAAGAAGTGATCAAGTGGAAATGAACAAATGAACAGTGGAGAAACTCCTCGTGACACCATGTTTGTCTTGCGCCCTGTAGACCCTTGGCAATAGTAATACAGCTTCACATATTGATAAAAGGGAACAGACTTTTTCCTTCCAGCCTCAGTTTGACTACATCGCTTGGGCCGTTTTCCAATACTCAACTTCGTCTCCGTCTCAGGCTTCGTTCCTAAAACCAATCCCCAATTGTGGGCCTGAAGCGTTTAAATTACATTGGATTACTGTAATTGTTGGCTTTCTTGCATCTTATTTGATGTTCCGTGGCACTATTAGACTGACTACTGCGCTTACAGCTTCAAAGTCAGCTGGTAAAAAAAACAGTTGAAGTCTGAGACAGAGCCGAAGTTGAGTATTAGAAAGCGGCCTTTGAATGGTAGAAAAGTATGATGGCTGCCCCATGATACAGGGTCTGTAGTGATGCAAAATTCTATTGCTATTTTTTCATGTACTTGCAGTCAGCCATTACAGATTTCAACGATTGTGTTGGCAGACTTTCCACACTAGGTGGTGGACTTTTAATAGTGGTGGCTGTACTTGAATATTCGTGCCATAAAAATTGCCAACCCCTTTCAAGAATCATGCACAGTGATGGTCAGAAGGAGCTGTCAACGTTTTTCACCCATGGAACATCCAGCTCCTCCGATTCTGGATTCCAAACAGAGTGGAACATCAACAGAAAGAACTCATTTTCTCATTTTGCTATATTGTGGCACTATATTTTTAATTTAAACGTTGAGCCCTAAGGATTTTTGTTTTCAGTAATATCTTGCGGTCATTTTGACACCAATTTGGTGAAAATCAGACATGCTGTTCTTGCGCAACATGCATATTTGTCCAATAGAGGTCCTCCCAAAATCTGCACTTATCCATTTTGTGCTCAATGCATGAGGGCCGACATGTTTTGAGGTCAGGAACTTCAAATGCCAATAACATCAAAACCCTGTGTCAAATTGAATCGAAACTCCACCCTGGTATAGATTATTAGTGTCTGTACATGTGCACCAGTACGGGGCCCAATGTCATGGCGCTGCTTACCCACAGAATTCAGTGCTTATGATCTCCATTCTGTGCTGACCGCGCAAGCAGAAAAATTCTGCGCTAACCCTTTAAGCACAGAACCCTTAGTTACGGGATGTAGGCATGGGCACCAGCCAAAATTCCTCCCTAAATTGTGAAATATGTTCAGCGTAAGCGCAGAATTTTCTGCTATGGTAAGCACCGATTTTTCGCTTGCGGTAAGCAGCGCCGTGAAATTGGGCCCAGCCGAGTTCTTTCAGAATTTGGCTGTAAGAATTCCTCTGATTGCCCGGCTATGAAATGGTCCACAATAACCCAGCTCCTTGAGGGTTAAGACTCATTTTGCAGGATTTTACAAACTCGGATGGTTTTAAACCACACCGACCGACTTGAAATGGAGCATTCTTCATTCAATTATGTAATGACTTTTGGGGGGGGCATCCTTTGTTCTTACAGGCTATTGACAAAAACGGTATAAGTGTCCTCCTCGCTGCTATTTTTGAGGGTCATACGGAGTGTGTGGATTTTCTGCTCCAGAAGGTGGGTACTCTTTCCCTTGGAAATAAAGCACAGATGCCTCTTGCAAAAGAAATTTTATTTCGTCTGGAATTGTTGTTGCATTTAGCTAGCAGTTGACATATCATGTAGATGCATGTATGGGTTGTATTTAGTCCAGGTAAGCCCAAAATTACTCATACCCATTCCAGAGTCTGGTAACATAGAATTGACGAGCGAAAGACCCTAGAATTGACAACCAAAAGACCCTAAAGTTGACTGCCAAAAGACCCTAGAATTGACAATCAAAAGACCCTAAAGTTGACTGCCAAAAGACCCTAGAATTGA